TTGGGGCGGCGGGTCCGGGCATGCGCGGGGCGGCGGCGGCGGGGACGCGCGCGCGCCCCCTGGCGGCTGCCCGGAGATCGCGGCTTTGGCCGGGGAGGGGCTGGAGACCCCCGAGGAGGGGCTGGAGACCCCCGGGGAGGGCACGGGGGAGCCAAAGGTCATGGCCAGCCTGGAGACCACCGAGGAGGCCAAGGGGGACCCGGAGACCATCGACAGAAGCAAAGGGAGCCTGGAGGACACAAGCGGCGACGGCTTGGAGCAGGAAAAAGGGGGTTCGGAGACCACCAGAGAGGGCACAGGGGGGATGGAGACCACCAGTGAGGCCGTAGGAGACCTGGAAATTGCTGTCACACACTCCTTGGAGAAGAGCAAGGATGGCCCGGAGACTCCCATGGAATCCAAGGGAAGCCTGGAGACCACCAGCGAGGCCACGGGCGGTCTGGAGACCACCAGCGAGGCCACGGGCGGTCTGGAGACCAGCAGGGAGGCCACGGGCGGTCTGGAGACCACCAGGGAGGCCACGGGTGGTCTGGAGACCAGCAGGGAGGCCACGGGCGGTCTGGAGACCAGCAGGGAGGCCACTGGGAGCCTTGGGACCACCAGTGGGCGCAGAGGGAGCCTGGAGACGGCCGTCACTCGCTGCTTGGAGCAAGGCAGGAGGAGCAGGGGGAGCCTGGAGACCACCACCAAGGTCCTGGGCAGCGTGGAGAGTGATGCTTCTCCTGGTGGGGAGCAGAAGAGCACCAGCAGGCGCAAGGCAAAGACCCCTGCGAGGCCCAGGGCGAGCATAGAGACTGCCAGCCCCCCGTGCCTGCGGTGGGAGAGAAGCCTGGACACCAGCAGGGAGAGCTTGGAGGCCGCCAGGGAGGACGCGGGGAGCCCGGAGAGCACCATCAGCGGCCACGTGAAGCGGGACAGAGAGCAGAAGGGAGGCGTGGAGTCCCCCACGGAGCCCGAGGAGGGCCCGGAGCCCACGGCCTGCGTGGGGCAGAGCCGCGGCGGCCCCGGGCTCCCAGACCCCGTGGGCGTCCCGGAGCCCGCGGGGGTGCCGGTCCCCAAGGAGCACGTGGCCGAGGAGAGCGCGGTGATCTCCCTGGACGAGGACGAGGAGGAGGAGGAGGAGCGGGACGAAGGGCCGGCGCGGTACCTGGCGGCGCTGGAGGCCGTGCAGCTGGAGCTGGAGGCCGTGGAGGAGGAGGCGGCGCGAGCCTTCCGCCGCCTGCGCGCCCGCTTCTGCCTGCGCCGCCGGCCGCACCTGCAGCGCCGCAACCGCCTCATCCAGCACATCCCCGGCTTCTGGGTCACCGCCGTATCCTCGGGGGGGTCCGTTTTGGGGTGGGGGGCACGCGGGAACCTCCAGATCCAGCTTTCCTTGACGCCCTCCCCGTGCGCAGTTCCTGAACCACCCGCAGCTCTCGGCCATGATCAGCGACCGCGACGAGGACGCGCTGAGCTACATGACGAGTTTGCAGGTGCCTGGAGGGGTTTTGGGGGGGGGATTTGGGGTTTTGGGGTGCCCCTAGAGGTAACAAACCTGGGCCTGCAGGTGGAGGAGTTCGGGCAGAGCCGCCCCGGGTGCCGCATCCGCTTCTTCTTCAGCGTCAACCCCTATTTCCAGAACGACGTCGTGGCCAAGGAGTTCGTGCGCGGCCCCTCCGGTGGGTGTCGGGCAGGGGTGGGGGGCACCCCCACTTCCTACAGCCCAGCGAGGGGGTTTGGGGGGCTCCAGAGCGACCCCCTCGTGTGTTGTCCCTCCTCTCAGGTCACCTGGTGTCCCACTCGACGCCGATCCGGTGGTGGCAGGGGCAGGACCCCCGCTGCCGTCCCCACAAGGGTCCCCCGGCCCCTCGGAGCTTCTTTGCGTGGTTTGGGGATCACAGCTTCCCTGCAGGGGACCGTGTGGCTGAGGTGAGCCCAGTGCTCCCAGTATCGCCTCCCAGTGCTCCCAGTATCTCCTCCCAGTACCCCCCTGACGCCCCCATCTCCCCCAGATCATCAAGGAGGAGCTTTGGCCCAACCCGCTCCAGTTCTACCTGCTGGGGGAGGGCGCCGAGGGACCCCCTGACAGGTGAGCTGCACCCCAGGGGGGGTTT